TTTCTAAATTTATCGAATATTTTTTAAGAGTAAAAAAAAGCCCTTCTTACAATTAATTTTAATAAAAACTCCTTTTTAAATTTTATTTCAAAATGTATATAATTGGTACTGATTATTTCTTTGATGAATGTTAATAAGAATTACGTTCCTTTTGTTCATGTCTCCGAATGTGATTTAGTTTGAATTTTACTATTATTACTATTACTGTTGCTTCTATTTATTTATTATTATTATTATTATTTAAAACACGTGCTTTTTAATATCATAAATTCATCTCGTTCATTATATAAATTGTTCGCTCATTTTATTTTATTTTTTAAAAAATTTTTTTTTTGAAAATTCTTACCAAATAATAATATAATAATAATAATAACAACACCAACAACAACAATAATAAACAGCGATAATAAAAAGTTAGTCAATAATAATAATCAATAATTAAAATGCCCAAGGTAATTAATAAATCATCAGCAATAACAACAACGTCGTCGTCAACAATCAACAACAATAATAGTAGTAATAATAATAATGATTCATTATCAAATAATTTAAGTTATCAACAATTTATTTCTCCTTATGAATCATCAATTACAGCTCAAGATAAACATAATACTATTCATATTAACCTTAACAATAATTTACCATCATTATCATCTCCTTCATTATCATCTTCGTCATCTTCGACTTCGTCTTCTCTGACAATCGATCAACAAAATTCTTTAAATTTTCTATCTTCGTTAACTGCAGAACAAATTCCATTTCCTGATACCAACTTTATAAAACGGCTGTTAGAAAATTCACGTAAATCAAAATTATCTCGTAAAACCAAAAAAAATGATCCGCCGCGCCCACCAAATGCATTTTTTTTATTTAGAAACTCGGTTCATTTCTACTTAAGTTCCTTGAATCTAAAAGTTCCGCAAATTTCAACAACTTCTGGCAAATTGTGGTTCGAAGCAACAGAAGAAACAAAAACAAAATATAGTAAATTGCAATCAATTGCTAAAATTTTACATTTAGAAATGTACCCAGGTTATGTTTATAGACCAAGAAAGAATTTACATATTAGTAATGCTAATAATAACAATAATACTAATAATAATAATAATAATAATACTAATGATGATGATGATGAAGCTATTATGATTGGTATTAGCGGGGGTGAGGATGAAGATGATAATGATAATAAGGAATTAAATGATAAAGTAAATTTGATTAGGAAAAAAAGGAATTATAAAAGAAATAATAACAATTATAATAATAATAATTATTATTATTATAATAATGATTATAATCATAATAATAATCATAATAGTAATAATAATAATAATAGTAGTAGTAGTAGTATTCAACATATTTATGATTCTTCTTCATCTTCCAATGATTTATTATTAATTGAAGCACCCAATATTTCTTCTTCTTCTTCCTCTTCTTCTTTTCATCCTTCTGGCACCCAATCTTCACGACCTTATATTTCCTCCCCTCCCAACAGCAATATTAGAAATAACATTATTAGCAATAACATCATCAGTAATAATAACAATAATAACAATTTAACATGCTTACCACAATTAACAATTATGCCACATGTTCAAAGATTTAACAACGAAAATAACAATAATGTTGGTGAAGAATTTAATTCAATTTTAAATTACCAAACCAATTTTAATAATATCGTTAACGAAACTTTAACCACGAAACCTTCCATTATTCTTTCAACCGATTTTACACCGCCATCACAAAATTATCGTTGTAATAATCATAATGTTAATGATGGTGGTGATAATGATGGTGATAATGCGACTAGTAATAATATTAGCAATGGCATTAGTAATAATGACAATTCAACAATTCCAATGATTATTGATTCATTTATGGACATGGATGTGGTACCAGCAATAGAAAAATTTGCAACATTAGATGTATAGTCAGTTGCAGGAACAGTTGAAATAGGAGATGAAAACCCATTTACAATTACGGGAACAGTTGGAGTATCCACATATTAATGCATTAAAAAACCATTTAAAAAAGATTACCAGGTGTTAAATGATTGTATTAATCACACTAGCATCA